ACTAGAACTGGAGATAGTATTTGATTAGAATTGCTTATCGTAAACATGTTGGATTTTATAACTAGGACTGGAGATAGTATTGTTTTTGAAAGTTTCAATTATCATTCCGAACAAATAGTGAGTGTTGTGGACATATTTTTAATGACTGTAATAAAATAATTCTTGCATGGGTGGCATTTAATGACAGTGACTTAAAAAAAGAATTCAAAAAGAAGAAAAAGTAATTGAGTCATTTTCATCATCACTATGGTCATAAATCCCAAAACTAGGGTTTTAATGAATTTGATTGAAATACTATCTCCAGTTCTAATTATAAAATCCTGTTTATAGACTATAAACAGGTATTATAATTAGAACAAGATAGTGCATATTACATGAAACATTGTAGAAAGGGGCCTTTCTAAATGATTTGTTTTTAGTTATATCGAAGATCTATTCATAATCCAAATATCATTAGTTCATGGATGCATGATTAACTAGGCTTACACCCTCTCTGTTTCATGTATCAACTCACAGGTAGCGGCAAACCCACCAGCTTTCATCATTCGCTTAAACTCCATGAAATTGACCATTCCATCCCCATCTGCATCCACTTTCTTGATCATTCTCTTGCACTCTTCCAGTGCCTTCCCGTGTTTCAGCCCTAAAGAATCTAAGACTGTGCTCAATTCTTCTTCTGTTATGAACCCATCTCCGTTTTGATCGAACACGTTGAATGCCTCCTTCATATCCTCGTCTTCGTCTTTATCGTCCATTATCGATTGGTATAGTTCCCCGAACTCGTCAATATCAACACACCCGTCTCCGTTTATGTCAATCTTCTCGATCATTTGGATCATATCTGTATCCGAGATGCGAATCCCCAAGTTTTCTAGGGAGTCGCGAAGCTCTTTCTTCGTGATCTTACCATCCCCATTCTTATCGAACATTTGGAACACCCGCCGCACTTCAGCCGGATCCATTAATTATTTGCTTCCGATACTATGGTGACGCAAAAGAGGATAATCAAAACGCGAGAGAATGATATTAACTGGTTCGAAGAAGAAGGGGAAGAAGAATGGGGAAGCAAGTTGATGGAATTAGATGTAGACAGATTGGCGAAGGGTTTGTGATGGTAGCAGATTGGAACTAATAATTTTCCCAGACGTTGTTTTGAACGGATGATGCGTTCATCCCTTCAATTGCGTTAAATCGTTCGTTATATTAGGGTGGTTGCGATGCGAAGCTGTTTGTGTTTTATGTATAGCTAATTAATGGAGTGCTTGAAATTTAAATAACAAACTGCCTGAGTACGGTTTGATTCTGATAAGATTTTCCATGGGGCACGTTATAGTTTATCTCATGATGGTTTCTTAATTTGGGTTTACTATTTAATTTAGGGAAAACCCTATTGAAGGTACTTATATTTTTTTTTTTAATTTTTAATTTGGTACCTATGTGTTTTTTTCCCTTTAATTAAACATTTAATTTTATCTTTTTAACAACATTAGCTCTTATAACTTTGTTCTATTAATATTTTTAGTCTCTACATAAGGATTAATGATGTTAATAGAGGAAAAATAAAGATTTAGTTAAGAACAAAAAAACATATAGGTACCAAATTGAAAATCGAGAGAAAGTATAGGTACCTCCAATATGGTTTTCCCTACTATTTTTAGAAAAATAAAACTGCGTTTATTAAAGGAAAAAAAGCTCGGTACACTCGCATGTTTTATAGCATATTTTTGTTCAAAATGGCAATAACAGGTGAATCGGACACGGGTCAAATTCAAGTGTCGCGTGGGTGGCAGGGTTATTTCACTGCCCAAACTTTGTTACATTTTCATATTATTAAATTTGTCATTTCTCAAAAATAAAATATCATTATTAAAGTCTTTTGTTGTCATTGTATATACGCGTCTGTGTGAGGCTTCATCGTAGTTAGGCCACTTGAAGCTGGGAATGCGGGCTGGCGGTGCGGATACGGGCCAGCCCGCAGCGGTGCGGGCCAAAAACGGTGCTGGCTGAAGTAGCTCGCACTTTGGCGGGCTGGCATTTTGCCAGCCCGCCTAACTTTTTTTTTTTTTAAAAAAATATTATTTGTATAAGTTTGAGCTTAGTTTGTAATGTTAAAATTGGACTTGGAGTTTTAAACTTGAGTAATGAGTTATAATAAAATAATGTGAGGATTAATTTATAATTTGAGAAGATATTTTAGAAAAACTAACACATATTTTTTTCTAAATAATTAATTTGACTATTTTCTTATCCAAATTAATTAAGTAGATCTTTTATGTATGTATTACATATGCAATTACATGGATGAGAAAATGTAAATATGAAATTTGGGGGTTAAAATCCTCCAATTATGTTGTATAATATATTAGAATTATATAAAACTAAAAATTAAAAAAAAAAGCGGGCTGAAAAAGGTGCGGGCTGGAGTAACCCGCACCTTGGCGGGTTGGCATTTTGCCAACCCGAGCCCGCCATTTTTGGCGGGCTGGGCCCGCGGGCTCAGCCCGTATTACCAGCTCTACACTTGAGGGCTCTAATAGGGCCATGCAGGTTTTAATGGTGTTTTTCTGTTGTTATCCTTGATCAAATTTGATTCTCTTCTTTTTTAATGAGATAATCAAATTTGATTCTTGTTAGGCTCAGTGGAGATAAAACTCACAACATTCTTTCATTCAACTCACGGTGTTTTGATACCTAACCTTTATAAAAATTGAATTGTTTTTACTCAATCCAGCCATCATTGGTTTTAGGGGAAACATTTTGAGCAAACATGGTTATATTTTTCTTCACAAATCAAAGTATTTTTTGTTGCACTTTATATTTTAAATGTTATTGTTTAGTTTGGACATAAAACCAAATTTGGCCAATTTTCGTTCGACACTTTGAGTCAATTGTACTGCTATCTAATCCTTCTTATGTTATTTTGAAACTAGCTTGAGTCAAACTTAATTGAATTCGACTTGTAAACATATTTACTAGGCAACTTCTCATAGCCCTGATAATATTAGAAAATTTAAGGATTTAATTTAAAAAAATGCTCCTCCAATCCTTAATATAAGACCCATTTAACTAATTTGATTAGATTAAGGAAATTAGGTAAGTTAGTTAATTATAAGAAATGCGACACGTTTTTCCTAAAACACCATAATCATCTTTTTTAATCCCAATCTATTTCTTTTACTTGATTATGATTGAGGAAGTATCTATAAGAGTAATTTAGAGAAAATTGATAAATATGATAAATGGATCTTATATCTAGGACCAAAACCAACTTAACAATTGGGTCCTATATTAAGGACCGGATAAGTAGTTTTTATTTGTTCAATTTAATTAATATGATGTTTATGTTTATATTTCAATTCAAATATACAAATTATAATTATAATTTATTAAACAAGCATATGCTTTTCACATAACTATCATTAAAATTAATACATGAGTAGTATGTTTTCACCCAGCTTATGTACTTAGCATTAATTATTTAATGTTTCTGTCTCCAACCAACTTAAAATATGTTGATTTTTAAATATATTATTAATTTCATAACAAGCTCTAATTATTAATGCCATTAACACATTAAAATCTTTTTATTTTGATTTGTTTAGACAGAAGTATATTAAGCATATATGGTTAATAAATATCTAAGTCCTTTATGTTATGATATTTGATGTATAGGTTTATATTCTTATAAATCCGCTGGTAAAAAAAAATTCTTATAAATCTAAAAACCACCAACGCATTAATATAAAATTATGCGAAATTAGATTGTGATTATCAAAATCTAAAATAAATTGTACATGCTACTAGCACCAATAGTATCGCATCCTGTAAATTTTAGTGATATTTATTACGACTTTAAAAAGGTCTTCAGCTGGCTAAAGGCCCAGATACCCGAGTCGTGCAGCCAAACGATATTTTGCAGGCGCAAGGGTTTCTCCTATCACACATCCCCAAAATCAAATGATACAATTGTCTGCCTTTTGAAGTGCGGAAGCTCGCAGGTGCCATTTCCTTCATCTGCTTTCGTTCTCCTTATTCGGTTCTATGCACTGTTTCGCTGAATAAATATCGGGCGCGGGCATCTGCGTTGTTAATCTCGTTAGAATATGCTGAATTATTTGGATTTTTTCAGTTCGTGATGTGATTCTTCGCATGATTCCTGAGGACGCGGAGTACGAAACACAGATTAATTTAAGTTATTAGCTGGCTTCGCTCTCGCCACGGTTTAATTTAGTGAAGAAAGAAAAGGTTTTGATCAGCTTATACCTGATGTCAAACTCCTATCCGGAACCAAAACGACGTGGTGTTTCTGCGTATTAGATATTGGGTTCTTCTGATCTGTGAGTGTTCTTGGGCATTCTTTTAACTAACCGTGAGGAAGCAGAGAAGGAAAAGTAATAATAAACCTCTTTTTGTTTCTTTTTCACTCTTTACGGCCCTTTTTGCTTCTCTCTCTAAAATTTGGTGCTTATGAATACATGTTCATTCTGGAAGAAAGCTCATCATTTCGTGCAAGGTAGTGGCGATTCTTGGTCAGCACATTACCAACGTCCTCTGCCCCTGCTCAACTGTAAATAGGGGTTTGAAAAATGCCTGTTCAGCATTCATGGCAGAAATGTCATGCTATTGTTCCTTGCGTCCTTCCTGTTGATTTTGTTAATTAAATAACGATTATATCACCTTAAAATTTTCATATGATGGCATTGCATAAGGATTAAACAATATTCTTTTCATTATTGGAACGTGCATACTTCTACCGTTTGTCCTTGTCAAATTAATAGCTGGAAATTGCCTGATTAGCTACCCTTCCTTGTAAAATTCTGGCCTCCCCTTGGCTGAAATATTTAGAATTTATTAGTATTAGAACCTGGCCATCCTTTTTTTTTGGGTCTATTTCTTTGAGCATTTACCATTCAACTATTTTCCTTTTCCTAACTGTTCGATATGGTCTTTGATTATCTTGCATCATTAATTTATATTCCACGGTTTTCATGCTTTATTAGGCCTGGCATAATGGACTCAAACTTGCAATCTCCAGCCCATGACAATACTGATACAAAAATGCATTTCGCAAGCCTTCTGGAGACTCATCTCATAGGAATTATCGCCGTCATTCTCCAGCTGATGGATTGCCGTCATCTGATGGTTGGAATCTTTGAACTCTCTCTCATTTCTTATTTCTTTTAGCAGTTACAATGGTCTTTTAGTAAATCATAATACTTTCGAGTTGGTAGATATCTGCATTCTATAATTTTAATTGGTGTTACAAATTGGCTGCATGCGCCCACATCCTCCATGCTGTTCACCTGTGGTTCTTTTTACGCTGTAAATTAGCCGAATAATGGTGCTACTAGGCTTTTTTCTTTCATGATGAACTCACTGAATTTTCGAAGGATTCTAAAATATGTTGTCTTCTGGTGATACCTTCAAAATTTATACTGGTGCTAATCTTGATGAATGGTGATTCTAGCCCTTATGGACATCTGTGTTTTCCGTTGCCAAATAAAAGAAATTTGTGGGCTCTTGAAGTAAATTGGGAAAATGGGAGGCGAATTGGTGGGGCTGTCTAGATTCAAGTAGATGTTTTGAAGGTTGCCTCTCCATGTTTTCTTATATTGGCTGTTTATGTTTATTTGGGATTGATAATATTTTTACACTATTAATGCCAAGCTCTGCTAATGGGGGTTGGGTTCAATACATTTATTCGCATTCAGGTAGCCCCAAGCATGATCGCAGCACGGATCCAAATCCATCAGGGGGAGGCTCTGGAAATGTCTCTGACAATCATGCAAGGAAGGATGATGGCAGGGAAGAAGAAAGAGATTATGGCAAGAATCACCATGGCAGGAGCAGTGATTCTTTTAGACATTCTGATCGACTGTCATCCCGGAGCTCCTATGGTCACTCTAGAAATGAAGAATACAATAGATATGACAAGTATGCCGATGAAGACAGATACCATGAGAGGCTATCTTCTCGCTCTGGACTTGAGTCAAGGGGTGATCATACAAGAGAAGGGAGTGATAATAGGTCCAAAGATCATCTACGAGCTGTGGACAAATATTCACGTGACAAGTATGATAGGTCAGAGTATAGGGGTTCAGATTATAGGAGCAAAGAAAAGGATAGAGAAACCTACTCGGAGCATCTAAAATATAAAGGGAAGGATTCTTTATATGACAGATCTCGATCTGGAAGGAAGCATTCTCCGTACGATGATGTGGAAAGGGAGAGGCGTTCAAGGGACAGTGATTATCGAGATGAAAGAAGAGATTCACACAGAAGTTATAGAGATTACAGAAGTGATCGGGCAGTCTCCTATTCTGAGTCAAGGAGCCAAAGAGATGACCCAGGTTCACGGAAAGACAGTGCTAAATATCGTCTAAAAGAAGCTTATGAAAGTGAACAAAAGGAACTGGACAGTAAGAGGTTTGGTAGGGACTCTCAGATTAGCGAGGACCTTGATAGAAACACCAGAAAAACTGGGGAGCAAATCAGTAATGAAGATAGAGAATCTTCTGCCAAAAAAACGAAGTTGTTTGGCACTGAATATGGTGCGTTGTCAAATATAATTTATACTTGCAGCTTTCTGACTTTTGTGATGCATTTGTTTTGACTCTTCAAATTTTCCTGAATTAAAAGGAGATGAAAGCCAGACTTCAATTTCGAAGCATCCTCAGGAGAGTAATGTGAATTTAGGGACTACCCAGGGCAGTGGTTCAGAGTTTGCCAATGATCTAAATAGTGCAAAGGTTGCAGCCATGAAAGCAGCTGAATTAGGCAAGCGCTTCTTTTCAATTGCAATTGACCTAATTTTGCATCATGTTCTAATTCTTTCAGAAGCCATTTTATACTTATCTGGAAGTTTTGTTGAATGACAGTTAATAAGAACCTAGCTGGCGCTGGTTGCTTGACTACTGACCAAAAGAAGAAGCTCCTGTGGGGCAGCAAGAAGAATACACCAGCAGAGGAGGTATCTTCGACTTTTAATACATTTTCCAATTTTTTTGGGGATAATTGTGTTTGAAATTATGTTCACAGTACTTTTAAGAGGTCAAGGTTTTAACCATTAGATATTCTTGAAATGCAAGTGAGTTATTATCATATGCACGATTTCAAAAGTGATTTGATTTAATGGCGGAGAAGCTAAACCTTAGTCGAGCTCTCCATGGGAAAATCTTTTTCTCTCGTTATTTCTTACTAGTTGAGTCTCAACCTGATTTGCTTGCATGAGGGGGGATTTTTTTTTTTTTTTTTGGGGGGGGGGGTGTGGTTAGTTATGGTTATGGAATATTGAGGTGCTGTATCTGTCATAACACCACTGTGCTTTTTTATTTGCCTTGGCAATTGCTATAAAACCGGTACTTATTCATTTGCTGCTCCAAAAATGCACACGCCAAATGTTATAGTCTGGTCACCGCTGGGATACAGCACTGTTTTCTGATAGGGAACGTCAAGAGAAGTTCAACAAACTCATGGTAAGTCTCGATTGACCTACTGCCCTATTTGACGAGATAATAGCATCAGGAGATCTTTTCCCCTTTTTCCCCCTTTTATTTAACTTGTTCCTGAATAGTCTGGCTGGCTCCTTTGGAGTTTTCCCCTTACTAACACAGTTTTAGAGTCTGAGGTTGCATTGGTGCCTATGGCCAATTGTAGGGTGTGAAGGGCGACCCCCAGGTGGAGCAAAGATCCAACGATCAAAATGTGGAGAAGCAGAGGGAACAGCTCCAGATGGATCTAGAGAAGCAGTACACTGCAGGTCTTCGTCGGCGAGATGGCCGTACAGTTGGATTAGGACTTTAAACATTCGCTCAACAGCTTTCCCATCGTTTGACCTGCACTATGGTGGTTATTACGCTTCCCTGCTCTGGAGGATTTTGTTACTTGTTTGTTTTATTTGGGAGCATGATTTGATGTCAGCCACATGGAATCTTGGCAGTTGTTGGGAGTTTTCTAGTAGACAGAAACTCGTTTATGTTATGGATATTCTTGTAATTGGAGGTCAAATTTTATCTTGTAATGCGTATAAAACCGATCTTGATACTTGGGACCTAAAGATGTTTAAAATATCATTTCAATCTGTGATGGACTGATGGGTTAATTATGGGAGAATTATAATGAGATTCTAAAAAAGACATAATTTTTAAAAAATCTGAATAATAACTTAAGCAGCATATAATAATAAGTTTTAGATTAGGAAAGAATAATTTTTGGGACTTGTTTTGTGATTAATTTTTGTTTTTGGGACTTGATTGTAATCCTCTTGTTAATTATTTTATTGTGAACACTAGTGAAGTATGAATGTCTTGAACTAAAATGGTTCCCGGGAGGACTAACGACGGTCACAGTGTCTATAATTGTTCCTCTTAACCACAATAGTACGCTTCCCTCACCGTCGGGCAACTGTTAACATTATAGAGTGGTCTTCGGCCCCTGCTATGTGGTTGCGTGGTCTCGGTCGAGTGTGTATGGTAAATTCAATCATTTTTCGATGCACAGGGTGAGGTTTTTCCCCCCAAAAATATTTTATGTTTTTAGAGATAAAAATTAAGTAATACTACTTCCGGTCCTTAATATAAGATCTTGTTTGACTTTTATTTTGGTTCTAAATATAAGACTCCAATTCACTTTTTCTCTTATATTTATACATTTTTTTCAAAGTAGCCCTTCTAACATGATAGTTCTAGTCAATACAATTAATTAGTAAGGATATTTTAGGAAAAACAACACTTATTTAGGACAAATAACTAACTCAACTTACTTTCTTAATCTCCTCAAATTAGTCAACCGGCTCTTATAATTAGGACCGGAGGTAGTATAATGAGAAGGGATTATCTATTTCCTCAAGAAACTGCACAAAATGGGGGAACTAACATATTACCTATTTCCACTCTATTGTAGGGTGGTTATTAAAAGAAATAAAATCAGAAGATTTATCATGACCTAACCTCGTCAAAAAAATCAGAATCTCTATTTTCTTCTTCTTTTATATAAAAAATCAAATTTATTTAAATAAAATAAATGATACATGATATTTTGAACTTTCAAATAGATCATGTGTCAGTGCCAATCATGAAAACATACTGAAAACACAAACTAAATAAAAAAGGATAACTATAGTTATCTTTACGGTTGCTATTTTTATTCCAACACAATAAAAAAAAACAAAAAAAAAAACTCCAACCGACTTATAATATTTTAACTAGAATTGTTCATAGGCAGAACTAGACATGGTTGGATTCCTCCTTGATGCCTAGTCAGAGGAATGAACAGGTGTGTATTTTGCAACCTGTTGCCTGACCTGCTTGGTAAAAACCCTAGACATTTTAGATTAGGCTGATCTGGGCTGAATAAGGCAGGCTTTTTGGCCTAAATGATGACATCCTACTCATATTATGTGTCGAAAAAAATCCACAATCTAAATAAACTTTGTTACTTTTACTGTTTTAATTCATTCTTAATTTATATTCTAATCTGAAAAAAATATAAATATAATATATAACAGAAATATCAAATGGTGCTTCAACTCAAATATGTGGATGGTTAAAAACATATAATTTATATCATTTTTTTAAAATATAATATAATAAAATGATATTACGCATAAAAGCTGTCAAAATCAAACCGATAGAAAGTATGAAATTTCATAGTCTCTCCGTCTTCCATTTCATATTCACATCAGTTTCAAACATCATAATTTAATATAGTATATTGATATTTCGTATATATATTATATATAATCATATATATATAAATATAGTTGACAAAAAAATATACTACCTTGGTTTTAATTATAAGAGCCAGTTGACTAATTTGAGAAGATTAAAGAAGTAAGTTGAGTTAGTTATTTGTCCTAAATAAGTGATGTCTTTCCTAAAATATCCTTGCTAATAAAGTATATTAACTAGAACTATAAATTATAAGGACTATCTTGGAAAAAATTGAGTAAATATGAGAGACAAAGTGGATTAGGGTCTTATATTTAAGACCAAAATAAAAGTCAAAGAGGATCTTATATTAAAGACCGGAGATAGTAATTATATATATATTTTGGGGCAGGGCTGCCCATTTTTCATCGGGGTGCCTTTTTGTGGGCTAGGCAGAGTAATTTTTTTCCGGACTTAGACGGGCACACCGGGCAACCGGACCTCCAAAACGGCTCTAATTTTAACCCGTAAATCCCATAACAGGAGGATAATCTCCCATCATGCGACAAGTTTTCATCGTTTATACAGGCTGGTTGTCCGTGGCAAGGCAGCTATGTGCGGATACACGGGCAGCTCCTCGACAACAAAATGAACAAAGAAAAACCAGTGATGCAAGTAACACGTGGTAATAAAGATGGTGCAATTTGTGCAAAAGTGGAGACAAAATTAACTTGCTCAAATGCTCAAGAATATCAAAATATGCTTGTAGTGAACAAGAAAAATTCCAAAAGCGTTTTAAAAACAGCTGTCTAATTGAAAAGAAAAGTAAAAAATGGCATTAGTCATAGCCATAAATTCCTCCTCTCATTGCATTTCCCAGCAAAAGCATTGGATGTCCAAATATGACATTTTCATTCAACGGGATTGCAATTGCAAGTTGAAAGGAACAAGATTTCCACGATTCCTTGTAGTCAAACCTAAATTAGTGTGTATCGGTGGACGAGCTAATGGGTTAAAAGACTTTCTCCGGTTGCTTTTATGCATGGTTTTGAGTGAATTTACTGACCTTGGAATTTTCAGATACCTTCCTTGGGAGTTCATTTTATCATATGGAAACAATATAGATTGGCATGTGGTTGTCCTAAACCGGTAATCATACTCATCCTCACTATGTACATGAAGAATAATTTGAAGTTTCGATGCAGAAGCCACAGATTTATCACGTACTGGTTTCAAATGGCTTCACTGTGTCCATAAATAAAACTGACGAGGACACAGTCAGAGTTATATATGAAATTATAAGTATACTGATTGAAAAATTAGGATATGGATCCCGAAATTTCAATTTAACTTCTTTTCAAGCTTATCAGTTCACAGTAAACTCCTCAACATGGCCCGCTATCGCGTTTGAATGCGTTACACTTTAGCCCTTTATGCTTATCCTTCTGAATGAACCTGTGCGACGTCAAAGATTTGGTGGAACTCTAAGCTGTAAACTTGTTCGTATTCGCTTTGTTATTGCATTGCAGCAGATCATCAATGTCTTGTCATGAACATGATAATCAAGCCATGCTATTTTTCTTTTTCAAAAGTAGAATTTGTCGCCATAATTAAGAGCAGATAAAGCCCAAAGTTACTTTTATTATCTATTTAATATAAAAGAAACCAATGATGGAAGACAAACAACAAACACGTCCCAACGTTCGCTCTTTTGTCCTAGCGGGGATGTTGACCAGATTTTCAGTACATCCTCAAATGCTCGGTACTTTTGCCTTGCCTTTCTGAACTATGCGTATATGATTCGTCTCTAGCGTATATGATTCGTCTCTAGCATATGAAAATAAGAAGGGCCGACCGTCACGGGCAGATCTACAACGTGAAGATCAGTCCAGGAATTTCAGATGGTGACTGGGGAAGAAACCTAAAAATGAAAGATTCTATTCACACGAAACCGACCCAAGGACAAACAAAAGCCAGACAAAAGCATTGGCCATTGAAGACTCGGGGTCGATACCACATTTCGCTTTTAAGCTAGCAGTCAAAGTGTCCTCCTTTTTCACACGTTTAGCAACGTAGCAATCATTCAGGCCTCTTAATAATATTTCCTTTGTTTCCAGGGTTTATTCGCATCTTTACCGCAGCCTGTTTTGAGTTACCCAAAACATCATATTTCAGCACCTTACCATGATATCTCAACCGCTTGCCATGGCTGCAACGTTGATACTTGTGGTTCTTGCACAAATATGCAGATCAGTTACTTCACTGTCAGAAGCTGATAAGATTACTAGTTTGCCAGGGCAGCCACCGGTCAAGTTTAACCAATACGCTGGTTATATTACCGTTGATGAGAACCAACACAGAGCTCTATTTTACTATTTTGCTGAAGCAGAATCAGAACCTGCTTCTAAGCCATTAGTTCTCTGGTTAAATGGAGGTATGCTTTTACTTATATGCCAAATACATAAAATTTACTTCCAAGGGAAGAGAAAGAAGAGATTGAGGTGTTTTTATGAGTTATGAAGGGCCTGGTTGTTCGTCTGTGGGAGCTGGAGCGCTCGTTGAACATGGACCTTTCAAACCAAGTGAAAACGCCCTCGTGAAAATGAATATAGTTGGAACAGAGGTAGTGAAAAAGTTTTATCCCTTTGGATTGAATACTACAATTTAGCATGCTGTTTCCTATCAAGATTTGCCCCCCTTTTTTGACGACCTTCTATCAAGATCACTCACTCATTGATTTACCTCCTTGCTACAGAGGCAAATATGCTATACGTGGAATCACCGGCCGGGGTTGGTTTCTCATACTCTGCTAATGAATCATTCTATGAATTTGTGAACGACGAAATCACAGGTTTTTTCACTTGGTTTTATGCATTTCAGCAGTTAAGCAGCACCATAGTGCTCACTGTTAGGCACTGGTCAGCTGGTTTTCCTTGAGATCTTCGTAATTACTATAGATTTCATTGTTATTGTACAGCAAGAGACAATCTGTTTTCCTACAACGTTGGTTGACCAGATTCCCAGAGTACAAAAGCAATGATTTCTTTATCACGGGGGAGAGCTACGCAGGTAAGTCATTTAAGTAGTATTTTCGTTTCATAACTACAATTCTGTAAGCATACCAGTTTGCAGGTCACTATGTACCCCAACTTGCACAGCTCATTGTTCAAACCAAAACAAAGTTCAATCTCAAGGGGATAGCTGTGAGTACAAAGGATTTTTTTGAAATAAATAAATAAATAAATAAACGACTTTGCTCGATCTGCATATCATAACTTGTTTCCATGTTGCTATTTGCAGATAGGGAATCCTCTTTTGGAATTTAATACTGATCTAAATTCTAGAGCCGAATTCTATTGGTCACATGGGGCTAATATCAGATTCGACTTACAAGGTCTTTAGCACCACTTGTAATTTTTCCCAAATTTGGAGACAATATCACAGTGAGACTCCAAGTGTCAGCTGTGCAGAAGCGAATAAACTGGTGACAAGGGAGATTGGTAACTTTGTTGATCGATACGATGTCACTCTTGATGTTTGTTTGTCATCCATAGATAAGCAGGCTCAAATGCTAAATCAACTGGTGAGGGTCATAACATTGCCTTGATTTTATAATTCCACGACTATTATACCATTAAATTTTCTCCGTTTGCTTTCGTTCGCGACGCAGCAAGAGACAGCCAACATAGATGTTTGCTTGGAAGATGAAACATCTGCATATTTGAACAGGAAAGAAGTACAGGAAGCTCTGCATGCAAAGCTTGTGAGAGTTATCAATTGGTCTATTTGCAGCGAGTAAGTCTTCTTGCTGAAAGAAAGCATTATCCTAAGAGCTTCTTTCCATGATCATAGCTTCCTCATTTGTTCTGGACTTCGTATTTCTGCTTACACAACTATCACCACCATGATAGGGTGCTAAGATATGACAATCAGAATCTAGAAGTACCAACAATTCCGATTCTAGGAGAACTCGTTAAGTCCGGCATCCAGGTTTTTGTGTACAGGTTGGTATTCTTCATTCTTTTCAAGATGGTGCCTTCCCTCATTACTTGCTGGCTACCATTAAACGTCCACTTTTTTTTTGTTTGGTATTAAATATCCACATATCTACTACAAGCAAAGTGGTTTGTATGCAGTGGAGATCAAGACTCAGTGGTCCCATTGACCGGAACACGTTCTCTGGTGGATAAATTAGCCAAGGAGTTAGGACTAAAACAACCGTGCCTTACAGGGCCTGGTTCGAGGGGAGACAGGTTAGTAGCTCGGATATCAAGAGAGATCCGGAAAACTTGCAAGAGTTATACGCTTAAACATTGCGCTCAAACTTTATGTATAATTTTCAGGTTGCTGGATGGACACAAGTTTACGGTAACATTTTATCATTTGCGACCATAAGAGGGGCGGGTCATGAAGCCCCATTTTCGCAGCCAGAGAGATCACTCGTCCTTTTCAGATCATTGCTCCATGGAAAGCCCCTTCCAGATGCCGCCCCTTCAACCTAAACACATCGCACCCATAACACCCCTTTCACCAATATGCGCGTCTTCCTCCCCCAAACCAACCCCCAACCCACAAAAAATCCCCCACCCACTTGGACCAAAAACAAGAAAGAAAGAAATATTAAGAAATAGAAATAAAGGGTTTGGATTAGCTTTTTAAAAGCAATTTTACAATGTTTGAAGTATGTGAAAAAAATTTTTGTCTCGACTTGCATGAAAATATGTTTTAAAGTGTTTTTAACAGGTTCCCAAACTCCCCCTTAGCATAATAATATTCACATTTGCTATCTATCGTCAACAAAACAAAACGGCATGACTTAAGAATTCCGAATGATTTATTTTGGTCCAACTTGTAAACACGGAAGTTGATCTTTCCAAATTATCAGCATATCTGTTCAAGCGTGCTACAAAAGACAAGAGGGATCTGCGTAGAATTATCAAAACTAGAACAGAATGAGAACTGTCAAAACAGCAGAATTTGATATAATCAGAATTTCGCAGCAGAGGCTGAGTCCACTAATCTTTCAAAGGCGATAACAACATCAATCATGCAACGTTCCCAGTAGGTCCTCGTCACGATATAAATGATACCTGCCAATAAGAAATCAAATACATTATAGTCTAGTTACCTAAAGAAATCAAATACATTATAGCCTAGTTACCTAGGAGAGCCTACATGAGTTAGATCGCTCTTGCAATATTAGCGTCTATTTATAAAGAAAATGCACCACATATAAGAATTTAGACCCATGTGATTCCAGGATTGTTAGCTTGTAACAATAATTAAACAAACAGGAGAACATGTGAAATATGATCCAAGAGAAACGTGTACATACTCTTTGTCACCCAGCTTCACTTCTGATCCTCCATATTCAGGTAAAAGGACAGTGTCACCCTCCTTTACAGCTACAGGAATTAGCCTTCCCTCTCTATCATGAATGCCAGGGCCCACAGCAATAACTTTTCCAGAATTCAGCTACAGCAACACCAACAAACAATTACCAGCTCATCAGATGTACTCTAACAGAGCAAAACCTCGAAATTTTTTTGGTTTCCCAGCCAAACCAGAGCGAAACTTTGATTAAGTCCTTTTTACAACGTTTAGCACCTTTAACCATCCAATGGAACATTTAATATGGATCACGCACCACAGCATGGCAATCCAAACAAAAATCCTAGCTGGTTTCATCCAAAGCCCAATATCATAGGAAACATTTCCGACGCCGTGGCCAGCCCATATCTACTAAGAGGCCGAGAACTAAAGAGATGATGTGGGCATAACGTTATATATTACACATTCCTTTGAATTCGTTGACAAACAGCCGATTAATCACAAGTGTAGTTTCTAGACCCGTCAGAAGAGAAGTGAAAAGTTGGGAACACAGCAATGCGACCCAAATTATAGCATTGCAAGTGACTAACTCTGAATTTCTTTAATATGTCTGGTTGTCAGGTCAAAGGGACTGTAATGATATGACATTTTCTACAGAGTCCTACTTCCTACTTCCTTCTTTGCATATATGAACAATTACTGAGAGAAGAAAGAGTCCATTAGCTAATTTTTCATACAAAACGTGGAAACATAATATTTCTACAAAATTAGAGACGAAAAACTGATGACAGCTGAGGTAAACCATGAGTAGCAAGCTGAAAATTTTAAGATCAACAGAAGCAAGAAATGAAATGGGTGAGAATGAATGAGCGGGTTCACCTTACTGGATTTCTCGGGTAGCAAAATCCCGGCGTTAGTTTTGGACGGAGGAACGATTTTCTCCACCAA